GATCTCGGCTCACTGCAACCTCCACCTCCAGGGTTCAAGCAATTCTTCTGCCTCAGCCTCCCGAGTAACTAGGATTACAGATGCCTGCCACCATGGCCAGCTAATTTTTGTATTTTTAGTAGAGATGGTATTTCGCCAAGTTGGCCAGTCTGGTCTTGAACTCCTGACCTCAAGTGATCCTCTCGCCTCAGCCTCCCAAAGTGCTGGGATTACACGAGCCACTGCGCCTGGTCTAAGGGTTGGGTCTTGGGATGTTTCTCACCTCCTTAGGCCCCGGTGGCCCGGCCCCGAATGAGTGCCCAGGAGCAGCTGGAGCGGATGCGCAGAAACCAGGAATGTGGACGGCCCCTCCCTCGCCCGACCTCCCCGCGGCTCCTCACCCTGGGAAGGACACTGTCCCCAGCCAGACGCCAGCCTGATGTGGAGCAAAGGGTGAGGGGAGGAGGACTGGGGCTGGGCGGTGGGGGGGTAGTAGGTCCTCTTCGCCTACTTTGAATCCCTTTCTGTAAAATGGAGATAATGCCTACCTCCTTACTCCAAGCTGGATTTCCAGATTTACCTCAGTTTGTACTTGTGCTAAAGTCAGCTTCCTGGCCTGGTTAGTGGTGGGTGGACAGGAGTGGCAGTGAGGGGAGGACAGTGGGTGGGGGCGGGGGTCACAGATCTGGATTGGAAGCCTAGTTTTTCTTCTCAGTTGCTATGTGTTGTCAACAGCAAGAAAGCAAAAAAAGAAAATGTAAGACAGCAAGAAAATGGATTTTATTCATGCCCTTTCAGTAGGGAGAACATCCCAGATCTGAGCATCAGAGTGTCTCAGATATCTCAGGATGGTTTCCCCTTAGACATTTTCTTTTTTTGGCCGGGTACGGTGGTTCACGCCTGTAATCCCAGCACTCTGGGAGGCCAAGGCGGGCGGATCACCTGAGGTCAGGAGTTCGAGACCAGCCTGACCAACATGGAGAAACCCCATCTCTACTAAAAATACAAAATCAGCTGGCCGTGGTGGCGCACGCCTATAATCCCAGCTCCTTGGGAGGTTGAGGCAGGAAAATCACTTGAACCCAGGAGGTGGAGGTTGCAGTAAGCTAAGATTGTGCCATTGCACTCCAACTTGGGCAACAAGAGTGAAACTCTGTCTCAAAAAAAAAAAAAAAGGTGTTTTCTTTTTTCGGGGACGAGGTGTTGCTCTGTCTCTCAGGCTGGAGTGCAGTGGTGTGATCTCCACTCACTACAACCTTCACCTCCTGGGTTCAAGTGATTCTCATGCCTCAGCCTCCTGAGTAGCTGGGACTACAGGGATGTGCCACCACATCAAGCCAATTTTTGTATTTTTAGTAGAGACAGATTTTCACCACATTGGCCAGGCTGGTGTTGAGCTCCTGAGCTCAAGTGATCCTCCTGCCTTGGAAGGAGGTGCTAGGAATAGAGGTGTGAGCTACTGCACCTGACCTCCCCTTAGATTTTTTTTTCTTTTTTTGAGATGGAGTCTCCCTTTGTTGCCCGTGCTGGAGTGTAGTGGCGGAACCTTGGCTCACTGCAACCCCTGTCTCCCAGGTTCAAACAATTCTCCTGCCTCAGCCTCCCAAGTAGCTGGGATTGTAGGCCCATGCCACCATACCCTGCTAATTTTTTTTTGTATTTTTAGTAGAGATGGGGTTTCACCATACTGACCAGGCTGTTCTTGAACTCCTGACCTCAAGTGATCTACTCACCTTGGCCTCCCAAAGTGCTGGGATTACAGGTGTGAGCCACTGCACCTGGCCCCTTAGACTTTTATAGAAAGGATTTAGACAGTCACAGGTGGTGGTGGAGGTTGGATTTCTGAACTCATGTGCTGCTTTATAGGAGCACAGGTAAAGTTAAACATTGTCAGTCGCTGGGTGCTATGGCTTACCCCTGTAATTCCAGTACTTTGGGAGGCCGAGGCAGGAGTAAGAGACCAGCCTGGGCAACATAGCAAGACCTTGTCTCTACTAAAAATAAAAATAAAAATAATTAGCCAGGCATGGTGGTGTGAGCCTGAAGTTCTATTTACTCAGGAGGCTGAAGCAGGATTAGTTTGAGCCCGGGAGGTTGAGACTGCAGTGAGCTACGATCACGCTGCTGTACTCCATCCATTCTAAAAAATGAATAAATAAAATAAATTTATTTTTATTTTTATTTATTTATTTTTTTTGAGACAGAGTCTCGCTCTGTCGCCCAGGCTGGAGTGCAGTGGCCGGATCTCAGCTCACTGCAAGCTCCGCCTCCCGGGTTTACGCCATTCTGCTGCCTCAGCCTCCCGAGTAGCTGGGAGTACAGGCGCCCGCCACCTCGCCCGGCTAGTTTTTTGTATTTTTTTAGTAGAGACGGGGTTTCACCGTGTTAGCCAGGATGGTCTCGATTTCCTGACCTCGTGATCCGCTTGTCTCAGCCTCCCAAAGTGCTGGGATTACAGGCTTAAGCCACCGTGCCCGGCCAATAAATTAATTTTTAAAAATTCAGTGCCTACGGAAGCATAGGAAAAACAAAACAAAACATTGCCAGTGTTTTTGGGCAATTTCATTCTCTTTTGGAGCCCCTTCACTTCACCCTCAAAATGAGAATGTGGGGCTTCCAGGTGAGGAGTTCTAATGCCCCAATTCCTTTCCAGCCTGTCGTAGGACACTCGGGAGCCCAGAAATGGCTCAGAAGCTCTGGGTCTTGGAGTAGGTAAGGAACTGGAGGGCGTATCAAGGGAGCAGGAAAAAAAAATTTGCATAAGCAAAGGGGAGTAGCATTATTATTGAAGTCTCCTGAATATGGAACTACAAATCGCAACCCTTCTAGATATGCTTACGTTCCCGGGGCATCTGAAACAAAACCGGAAAGCCCTGGATCCGTAGTGATATCTTTAGTTCCCCAAATTCCCTTGGTCAATAGCATAGCCTGCTTCTGTATCAAGGAAATTGGGTGGTAGTGATTTGCGAATGGACTACAAATCCCATAATGCATGTGGGCGGTATGAGGGCGGTGCCATGTTTAACATCTGTTAGAGACACGTGCTAGGAACTACAACTCCCAGAAGGGCACGCGCGGTACCCGGGTCCCCCACTGTGCGAGCTGTTTAGTTTTTATTTTTATTTTTACTTTTTTGTTGTTTGTTTGTTTGTTTTTTTGTTTTGTTTGTTTGTTTTTTGAGACGGAGTCTTGCTCTGTCTCCCAGGCTGGAGTGCAATGGCGCGATCTCAGTTCACTGCAACTTCCTCCTTCTGGGTTCAAGTGATTCTCCTTCCTCAGCCTCCCTAATAGCTGGGATTACAGGAGCCCATCACTATGTTTGGCTAACTTTTTTGTATTTTTTAGTAGAGACTGGGTTTCCCCATGTTGGCCAGAGTGGTCTCGAACTCCTGACCTCAAGTGATCCGCCCGCCTTGGCCTCCCCAGGTGCTGGGATTACAGGGATGAGCCATCGCACCTGGACTGTTTTTTTTTTTAATTTTTAATTTTTGTTGGTACATAGTAGGTGTACATATATTTACGGGATAAATGAGATGTTTTGATACAGGCAGGCAATGTGAAATAAGCACGTCATGGGGAATAGAGTATCCATCCCCTTTCAAGGATTTACCCTTTGATGTATAAGCAATCCAATTACACACTTTATTTTAAAATGTACAATTATTATTGACTGTAGTCACTCTGTTGTGCTATCTAATAGTAGGTCTTATTCATCCTTTTCTTTTTGTACCAATTAACCCTCCCCACCTCTCCCCCATGTACACACCCCACCCCCAATCTTCTTTTTTTTTCTAGTCCAAGGAACACCACCCCTTACTTGCCGACTTCCGAAGGTCACCGGGAGCGGGTTCTCAGCCTCTCCCAAGCCCTGGCTACTGAGGCGTCGCAGTGGCACAGAATGATGACAGGTGACTGGCTGGGGATGTTGAACTTCTGGGTTTTAGGGAGGAGAAAGCTGGAGACCTGGAATCCCAGGTCCTGGAGAGGAGGGGTCTAGGGGCCGATGGGAATTTTTTATGTTGGCGAGGAAAGAGTTGGGCAGAGTTTGGGAGTTTTAGGTCTCAGGCAAGAGTGGACTGGGTTCCGGGACACTTGGGAGGAGGGGAGGAAGAGGTCAGGGGGCGGGGAGAGGACCGACATCTGAGTCTGAAAGAGGTCTGGACTGGGGTGTCCAGACTCCTGGGTCTGAGGGAGGAGGGGCTGGGGGCCTGGACTCCTGGGTCTGAGGGAGGAGGGGCTGGGGGCCTGGACTCTTGGGTCTGAGGGAGGAGGGGCCTGGGAACCCGGAGTCCTGCTGCTGAAGTTTGCCATTCTTATGTCTCCCACTCATCCTCTCTAGGTGGAAATTTGGACTCCCAGGGAGACCCTCTTCCCCGTGTGCCGCTGCCTCCTTCGGACCCCACGCGCCAGGAGACCCCTCCCCCCAGATCTTCCCCGGTGGCTAATTCGGGTTCCACAGGGTTCTCTCGCCGAGGGAGTGGGCGTGGAGGAAGTCCCGCCCCCTGGGGGCCCACGTGGGATGCCGGGATCGCCCCTCCGGTCCTGCCCCAAGACGAGGGGGCGTGGCCTCTGCGAGTCACTTTGCTACAGTCCAGCTTCTAACCCGCCCAAACGCGGCAGCCAATCGGAGCGTGAGCACGTGGTCTGGAGGTACCGCCGGAGATCTGGGACCACTCAGGGCATCAGGGGCGTGGTCTGGTCCCCATCGCCCGCCCGGGAGGGAAATGGTTTCTATGGCCAAAGTTTGATTTTCTCAACACTGTCTAAATTTGGATTAAAACTTTGAACTTTTAGTCAATAGCTTTGTTTCTGTCTGTTTGGGGTTGTGGCACTGGGGTCTCTGAGGGACAGAGCCGGAGTCGTGCACTCCTGGGTCCTGAGAGAGGAAGGGACAGGGGGCTTGGACTTACAGGTCTCTGGGAGGAAGGGATAGAAAATCTGATCCCTCAGTCTGAGAGTGGAGGGGCCTGGGCCAGGATTCCCGGGTCTGAGGGAGGAGGGGCTGGGACCCTGACTCCTGGGTCTGAGGGAGGAGGGGCTGGGAGGCTGGACTCCTGGGTCTGAGGGAGGAGGGACTGGGGCTCCTGGATTCCTGTGTCTGTGGGAGGAGAGGAGTGTCTGAGGGAGGAGGGGCTGGGGACAAACTTCCAGGTCCCTAGCCTTCCTGGCAACGCCCCCCGAGGCTGGACTTCCACGATCCAGCTTCTATTGAGGATTTGATGCTACGGCCTCACGGGGCTTTGGAGGTGAAAAAGGCCCAGAGTAGAGACACAGAGAGAGAGAGAGAGAGAGACCGGTGGACACGGATGGCTACGGGAACGCGCTATGCCGGGAAGGTGGTGGTTGTGACCGGGGGCGGGCGCGGCATCGGAGCTGGGATCGTGCGCGCCTTCGGTGAGCCGGGTCTGACTGCTGGGAGCTGTGGAGCGTGAGAGAGGAAGGATGGGGGCGGGGCGATGGGGGCGGAAAATAGGGTCTCCAATACTGCAGCCGGGATTCTGATCTTATAAAAGCCAATTTGCAGGCTAAAGTAAGCGTGTGGCGCGGTAGGCTAGGGCTGTCTGGCGGGGTCTCTGAAGGCAGTGGCCCCTTTCTCTGGGTCTGTTGGTATAGCTACAAAACCAGTGGTTTGGGGAATGGCCCTGTCAGTTGTGGAGTTTGCTCTGGAACCCACGAACGGGGGATCAGGAGCCTCAGCAGAAACCTGGGCAGGCAAGGAGAGTATGCGTCAAGGCCTCTGCCCTCTGTCCTGTGGGTGATCATGAGACTGGGGTCACGAGGGGAGACGGAGATCGGCCCCAATCCAGGTGGCCACAAGAGGGCGGCAGAGGCTTTAACCAAGACTCGGAGGGTAACGTGTTCCCTTCGTATTCTCAGTGGACAGCGGGGCCCAAGTGGTTATCTGCGACAAGGATGGTGAGTGAGGGTCCCTCAGCCCTCAGCCCTCACCCTGGTCCTTCCTCCCTCAGTCCAGGGGTCCGGGAGCCCCAGCCCCTCCTTCCTCAGACCCAGGAGTCCAGACCCCAGCCCCTCCTCCCTCAGACCCAGGAGTCCAGGTCCCCAGCCCCTCCTCCCTCAGACCCAGGAGTCCAGGCCCCTGTCCCTCCTCCCTCAGA